AAGAAAAAAATAACCCATTTTTTCATCTTTGATGTAAATATTTGGTGCTCAATATTTTCGATCATGAAATACCTGAAGAAAACAGAAAAATTTCAGGAGGGTGTAGCCCCCCCTGAATTATCTCTGGGTGGGCGGTCGCCCCTTCTGCCCTCCCCCCGGTTTCGCGGCGCCTGATCTAAATATAAAGACTTACAAAGTTTTCGGGAATATCTTTAATGTGTTAATAAATTTAAACGTGTTACCAAAAAAGTGTATGAAAATGAATGATAAATTGATTTTATTTTTCATTATATATATATATATATATTTTTTTTTTAAAAAGCACTGTTCCTCAATGTAAGATTTTGATTTTTGAAATTTATATTTCTGAAAATGTCACTATTGTTCCTGCTTTCTTTTCAATGTATCAAAATGCCCGTATTTTTCCGCGAGACTGTACGAACCAGTAACGTCCGCTTAAAGCAACGCCTGTACTACTCGATCACTTAATTCTTCCCAAACCGTAAATTCCGGAGGCTGACGATGTGCTAGCACATTGAATCTGGTCCAATTCGCGTCAAATCCGGAAAGAATGAGATCAACAGGTGACGAATTGACTATGGCACAGAGCTCAAGGCAAATTAACAGACTTGAGAAATTGAGCAAACCTGTCGCGCAGCTTTTCCACAATTCAGAAATAATTCACTGCGTCAGGAGAGAATTATTCAGTTACTTCAACGCACGCAATTTTGTCTTCTTTAGATAAAATCTCGCATACGCTATTCAAATTCGGCACAAAGACATGCCGGACGACTGTACGACTTTAGAAAGTTAACAAAAATTTGCAACACTTGTTATTGATTCTTCGTCTTCGCACAATAATATTCTAATATATTAAATTTTTCGTTTTCCCGTAATATTGACAAACAGTATCCATTTATTCACGGCCCTCTTCTAGGAAGAAAAACATCTAATCCCATGGAATATTGTTCTGAAATGTCGCCAAAGAAGCGAGCGCAAACAAGATTCGTCTATCTCAGGCGTCGTACATTGCAAGTTAGAAAATCGGGTCAAGTGTTACACTTGTGTTCTATATGTAACTTCGGGCGTAGTATTGATACATCGTTAAAATAACAACGGACATAGCTGTGTCGACATTATATTGCTTCAAAAGGTATTTAACGAGAAAGTGTGCAACATCTTCAGAGGTTATGCGAGAGCCGAAGGATTCAATTAGCGGTATTTACAAACGTTAAAGGAAGGATATGTCGCAAGATTAAAAATCAATTTTTAATCCTACAATATTTTCCGTTTGTGTGCTTTGCTGTTGCGCCGCAAGTTTCTTTGCAATCCGCCGTTTGATATTTTTGTGACTCAGCATTATAAGATACTTTATGCTGTTGGTAAATATAATAAGAGTCTGTGTTTCCGGAGTTATACCGGAGTTTATTTCGAGGAAAAATATAAGTCACGTACCTGTGAAGCGCTAGATAGGTCGCTGCCGACGGAATTCTCGAGTCTTTAAGTCGACGTCTTGCGGATCTCTCTTTCTACATGATGATGGCGTTTACGCGTCGCACCTCTTCCCCAGTGAAATGCTCCTCAGCGCAAAGTGGTTAAAATGGTTCCTTTCAAAATGGATATCGCGCGACCCGCTTTCGCGCTTCCGCATTTTGCCGCGTCGTCACCGCAGAAAAAACACCGCGTCATGCTAGTTTTTAGTAGCGTCGTATTTAAAGTCGCGTTAACACGCCCCGCGCACAGAGATCTCCGGCAGGAGGCGCCGAAACACTGACCTGATTTATGGCAGCAACAGTTGCGCCGTTATTTCCATCGTGACGTTTCGCGATTTTTTGCGATTCGAGATCCTGCCTGTGATATTGAATATCCTCAAGATTCTTGTATTACGGCTTTTTCAACATCATCGATCGCTCATCATTAGTCGATTTGTGGCGCACGTGTACGGCACGTAGCGCGATTTGTTTCGCTATCGTGAAAATAATCAGACATTTATAAAACTATATGAAGCGCGCAAATAATCCCGAGCTTAATGCTGATTCCGATCGCATTTGCAAAATCTAAACGTTCAATCTTCAGAATTCAACGATCAGAGATATCCTCGTAATTTATTAAGCTCGGCAAACTAGCTCGATTGGCAAATCACATTTTTCACTGCTACGTCCGTGTGCTTGTACTGTTTGTACTCATAAATCCCATTTTATCTGCGATAATTCCGTTCTTAGAGACACTTCCGCTCGCGGAACATTCGCATTAGAGTTCTAAGCGGTGAATTATTAAGTTTTATATCTCACTTGTACCATTCAGTGGCCGAGTTCCATTTGCAATATATCTATTTCTGCAGAAGCAACCGTTATCCGCGAAATGTCCGCATTATCATCGCGATATATCCGCTTCAAGCCCCGAGGAGGTACAGCTAGACAGAGAAAAGGAGCTCGATCTCAGTCGCGATTAGTGCCAATCAGAGACAGGCACACGCTCGCTTCGGCCACGAATAGTATCTGCCGGGAGACGATATCGAGCGCGCTATTTCCGACCGCGTCCGCCCATGATTCAGATATCGTAGTGGCGGATCGGAATGGCCGATTCGACCTTGACTCTGGATCGTTCGCGCACTATGACACGGCTGTACGTGTGCATAGGGGATCCCGCGCGTCTGTCGTCCGCGGAAGCGCGTCCATCCGCTGCAAGAGATATATCGATCGCGCGACCGATGACGTATACGACGGCGGAGCGCTGGAGCGTGGATCGGGGTCGTTGTTTTTCAGGGTTACTCTCAGGAGGTTGACGGCGCCGTCGCTTCGAAGGGACGAGCGCCTTCGGGCTCGATATCGCCGACGTAGCTTATCCGTCCGGATTCGGAAGTCCGTCGTCCGGCCGTCGCCTCGTTCCGGCGGGTTCGAACGCCGCTGATCGTGCGGCGCAGCATCCGGTCCGGTGACGCGCGTCGAAATGCGGCTCTCACATTCCTGCCCGGAGCTCGATTGTCGGGGGGTCACCCGACCAATTTCGGGAGACGAAATTAGCGCGCGCCGCTCACGCACGCCTGTGCACGGACGAGATTTCACTGACCGGGAGCGACTGTGCCGCCTGACCTTAAGCGATTACGGCGCGATGACTGGCAGGCATTAAACTCGCGTGCATTCGCAGCATCATGATCTGTAACAGATAATGAAAGCCGGTAATTACGAGCTGTCAATAATTTCGGGTTAATCCTGCCCGAGCTCCTAGGCGTTACGCGGCGCGGAGAACAATAAATCCATTTGCCGGGAAACGTGTGCATTCGTGAAATCTATTATAAACGAGTTAACGCATAACGAGTTTGCGAACAAGGATTCATATTTGAAGCATCATTATCTACGATAAAAGCTAGTATTTGTATAACTTTTCACTCATTTTCTCGAATATTACGCGATGAATAATAAACAAATTTATTAATGGAAAACAAGTATTTTGCCTGCATATTAAGGACGTTTTTTTTTTCAAATCTGATATGAAACAAATCGATATATTATGCGCACCTTTGAAGTATCTACAATAAGCTGATTGAAGCCGGTATTTGTAAGCTGGGAATAATATCTGTTAAATCCTGTCGAGCTGCTGCTATCAAAAAATAACAAATTTTTCTATTGAAAACACAGATCCTTTGATTTAATTTGATTTTCCATTTGAAGTTCGCCGATTTGGCCAATAGCGCTTACATTTGTTAGAGAAATTATGAACAAATCTGTGATAAGTTCTATGAATGAAATCCGATATAGTTGGCGCACACGTAAAGCATTATGCAGCTGCAACAGCTAATGAAAGTCCGCGGTTACGATGAATCCTAGCGTAATCCCATCTTGCGCTCGTTTCGTGATGGATTAGAGATGAGTTAATTATCGTTTGAGCTTAAAAAAAGGACATATTGCGCCATTAAATGCTAAGCTGAGGGAGGATCAAGTATTATCTGCCTATTAGCCGGACACATTTTATTTTTCACTTTATGGATATTTCGAAGGACCGATTGACATATATCTGTGATTAGCGTACGGCTAAGCTATAGATTACGATTGATTATACCTGTGCTGTGTGCAAAAACGTATTGATTATTATTCGCCGTGTGAATATAAATTATTATTAAAAAATTTTCCAATTTAATGCATATTTTATTAGAATAACTAAGACAGATGGCAAATTAATGTAATCAAGCGACGATTCATTTCCCCTGGCAACTTATTTCAATGCTAATACATATTTTAAAAATACGCTAAAAATTAGAATAAAAACTTTCAGTCATTACAACGTGCGGATAAGCATGTAAAATACGTTAAAGATATCGGAATAGGTTTCATTCCCGCAACGAGAATTCATATGCATAAGCTATTCATAGTTAATGAGAAATATGAAGAAGCGGGTTCATCTACACACCCGCCTGAAAGGAAAAATAAAAGATCGCGAATTTGCGGATAAAAATGATTATATGCGAATCGGAGCTTGCGATAATGAGTAAAGTTTTTCCATTACACCTGACGTGTATATATATATATATATATATATACACGCATCTATCAGAATCACGCACCAATAATAATCAATTTCTTTTCCATCATGAAATATGCATACATTTCTCGCAAATATACAAATTGCACGATACAGCTGCAATGTCGTTAATAAATATATTTTTTTTTCTTGTCATCTATCAAAACCGCAGAATCGAATCTATCTTGGAGAAGCTCGAATATCTTGCGACGGTCTCATCTTTCATCCGTATAAACTTACTCTTTCAATCCGAGTGACCGTTATTAAACTTCAGAAATAGACGCGAGGAATACGCGCGCGCGCGCGCGCGCGGCTGTCTATTCATGAAGATGGTATAAGAAGACGCGTCACTCTTTCTTTGCTTTCTTTGCATAACGTGGCGGAAATTCTTTGAGAAGATGCTATTTTTTCGCAAAAATTTTATTAATTGATCCATTAAAGTATGAATTACGTTAAAGAGGAACTACACATTTAATCCATTACTTAACACAAATTACATTAAAGCAGGACTACGCATAGTCCATCTGATTTATCACTCGAGCCATCCACTAACCCACTAGTCAGTTAACTCCCTAGAAGATTAAGTGGATCGTTTAATCCTCTAGTCAGATTCTATTTGAGAAGAAAACCTGTGTGATATTATTTTATTAGGCGTCAGGATTAAGTCACGCGCTCGAGTAATGTTACACACATTTACAGAATTAAATCATACACTAGTCTAATTAACGTGTATTGTGTAATATTAATCTGTCAAGCACTGAATTCTGATTTTCTCCGGAGAAATAATTTAAAACGCTATATATATATATCGTTTGACAAAAAACGCATCTCAAAGCAAGCCTTCTCCATTAAAAAAAGAAATGATAACAATATCACAGCACGAGAATCATTTGCTTGAGAAAGTCTGTGTCTTGCTTGCGTGGCCGATATATTTCTATGCCAGATTTTAGAATTATTTTATCAGGCAAATTTTCTAATAAACACAACAAATTGAATTTGTAAATATAATATGCAAGAAAGCGCCGCTAGTCGCGACACAGAAAAACACCGGTGAAAAGTAGGGCAGCGTTTGAATCACGTGCGTGTATCGATCGAGATAATGAAAATTAGTCAATCACGTGTGTTTGCAGGGATAATCTCTCAATTGCGCAGTACACAAGACGATACGCAAATTTGCCCTGCTGAGGTATCCTGCCCAATTTTCATTGCCGCTTGTTCGCCGCAGTGTAGTCACAACCCGTTAGTAATCCGACTAAATGCGCGCTTTTGTCGCGTGAAAAGATTGCGCGGTGCAAAACTGGCCGGCGGAAATAAGAGGAGCTGTTTATCTCGCGACGTTTCTTGCGTCGCGTGCGCTGCCATTTGTATCTGTCGGTGCCGACATGAAAATATCGTTTATTGCTCGCTAGACTCCCCCGCCGTGTTCCGCGAGCCGTCGCGACGTCCGCGACGGCGTAATCGTTTAACGAATGCGTTGGAAATATTTACACTGTTTATCGGAAGCTAAGTACCTCGTTCGACAGTCACCGCCGCTGTGTATGAAGTGAACTTTTCAACAACCGCATTTCACTCGCTTTTATTATAATTAGAAATAAATAGGGTCTGTTACGTAACATTGATCAACATTATTGTCAACATAAATAATTTTGACTGCAGTAGGCTTGATTAGTGACTCTTGATATTAATCTCCAATGACTGTTAATCAATTTGCACAAATTGATCCCTTTAATTATCTCATGATTATCTGCATTAATAAAATATCAATATGATGTTGTATTTACAATTTGTAAAATACATTTCTACGCAAAATCGTTCCGCGGTGCGGAAAATTTTCCATCTACCTGCGAGTTTAAAGCAGAAATTAATATTTAACCCGGAGGACACCTCGTGTACGATGCTTGCGGGTCTCCGCGCAGCAATTCTTTCCTCTCCCACGTACGCCCGAGAAATGTCATTCGTTTACCCTTAATGTTCGCCGCTCCACCGCACGAAGAGAAACTTCGTGCATGGAAAGTATCGATCCCCAGACGCCGAAACGGCGAATTTAGCGAGACTTCGTTAAGAAAGCGGGAGCCGTTGTGGAAGAAGGCTTTCGCGAGAAGACACAAAATCTCTCCCCTTTCGGCGTAATCCTCTCTTAATTGCCATTTACTCCTCAGAAACGACATCTGTACAGTTATCGCCAATTATCCGTGCCTTCGAGATCAACAGCGATTTACGCTTGAGCCGTCGAATGTCGTGGGATGCGTCGCGCGACAATCTTATCTCGACGATATAAAAGTCTCAGAAGGCACAGGTGAGTGAGCACTTGCTTAAGACGTCGAAAGCTTTAGCACGGTCATCGATGTTCGATATCTTACTGCCCTTTCTGAAGTAACGATCTTGAGATATAACCAAAGCCTTGATAAAACAAGCTGTAAGTTAAACAAAAATAGCTTTCTCAGAAGGGATTTCCTTTACAAATTACATTCCGTTTATTTAGAGAGAGAGAGAGAGAGAGAGAGAGATATCCGTATGAATTCAATATGAATATTCGTGTATTAAATTTTATAAATTTATATTTCGCAAAAATACTCCGAATGGTGTTTGCGAATTTTTTGCACGCATTGACCCGCTTTAGTGGGGAAATAATTTATTTGATAATTGTAACGAGTGAATGTAAACATTTTTCGATACTTTTTGACGCGCGTACGCAAAAATTGCGTTAAAGCGCAAACAATAATATTAAAAGATTTGTAACTGCAATTGTTTGCTGTTTTCCAGACATTAAATTTTCAAAATGTAATACCCGGCGCAAAGAATAGCTTTACAATTACCAACAACGGGGTGCCGGTGTCTGGATGATTATTGATTTCGTCGCGTTATTGTGACGAGTTATTCAACTAGTAGTGCGAGTCAATCATTTTATATAACGTAAACGGCTGCAGTGCGTTCCAGGTGTACAAAAGCAGCTGTACAATGAATGAGTTCTGCGAAATCAAAATGCTGGGAAACGAAGCTGAATAAAAATGTCTATTATTCCGCGAAGTGCTTATTATCGCGTGCATTAACAAATCGGAATGTCACGCACAAGACAGCTGCAATGGATTCTGCAGGCTCCGTTATTCCCCTATCAACCTTGGCTGGCATACAGAAAATTACTAATTATATTATTTATTATTAATTAATGTATAGCGATTGTAAATTTCCAAATGCCCGCATTATCATATTTCAATGTATGTGATTATCAGAATTGCGCGCAGTTATCTTCGAATGTAAATTAAAATTGATTTTTAAGCACAAATTATTTCGGTTATGCTTTTTTAATGATTTAACTCGCGACATTTCATATTCCAAAGCAACAAATCGTACAATTCGAAATCTATTGAAAGAAAATTATCGTGAAATTGAATAGAGAAAATGCAATTCCGTAGTCGATGTTTTTTTTTTTTTTTCGGCACTTGTAAAATTTCGTTTCCCACGTTTCGCTGAAAAAAACATTTCATCGCTCGTTATGCAAAATCGCTATTTATTCATTCAGCAACAAGGCAGGCGTCGTTTCATTTCAATTTGCAAAGAGCGTACGATGTGTAACAACTTGTTAGAAGCTTTGTCGGATCATTCAAGGGCCGGAAAGACACACATGTCAAAGTCACCGA